GGCTCCCTGCTCCGCGGGAAGCCTGCTTCTCCCTCTCCCACTCCCCCTGCTTGTGTTCCCTCTCTCGCTGTGTCTCTCTCTGTCAAGTAAATAAATAAAATCTTAAAAAAAAAAAGAAACAGTGGTAGAAATAATTTCTAGACACCTGTCTTTAAGTCAGTGGCTTTGTTTGTCACCATGTCCCCTTGTTAAGTGGCCGGATGGCTCTCTCTGTGACCCTCTCTCTCTGAGGTCTTACACACCCCAATGTCACCTAGGCATCAAACGGGCTTCTCCTCAAGATGGGCTGTGGTTTTGGGGGTGTCTTTCTCACTTCTGTCACCGAGCTTCTGGCCCCTTCCCACCCACCTGCTGACGCCTAGTCCTGCCTCTAAGAAAAGGAACAGAAGGGAACTCAGGGACCACAGCTGCCATCAGCTCAGAGGAACTATATTTCAGGAGAATGGAAAGCCCCCTACATGTTTATGTCCCACAATGTAAAGGAGGAAGCTGGACTTCCCGGCCAGCATCAGGAGACAAAGGCAGGGAAGGCTCACACCACTCAAACCATTGCTCCCTCCCAGCCATGTTTTAAGTCAAGAAAATATGTCACCCTCCCCATGTCCACAGGACAGGGCAGATGCCTCCAGGATTGGGAAGAAGGCTTATAGATTCTGGGATTCTGGAGAGCAGAGTCTAAGGTCCAGGTAGGGTTGCTGAGATCCAGGAGGGGCAGGGCTGTGCTCCCTCCAGAGGCTCCAGGGGAGGGTCCTTCCTGCCTCTTCCAGCTTCTGGGGACTCCCGGCATCCCTGGGCCTGTGGCACATCCCTCCCATCTCTGTCTCCATTCTCACCTGGCTCCTCCTCTGTGTCTGTGTCTCTCCTCTTATGTGCCTTATAAGGACACCTGTCATTGGATTTAGGGCCACCTTAATCCAGAATGACATCATCTTTAACTAATTACAACTGCAAAAACCCTATTTCCAAATAAGGTCCCAGTCCAAGGTTCCAGCTGGTTACAAATTTGGGGGAGACACCATTCAACCGTATGCAATATAAAACAATGATTTTGAAGTCATTGGAGTTCATGCAACAGAGGACAGTGACCCCAAGAAATGGGAAGCAGGCAGGCAAGCCCTGTGACTGCCGTAGCTGAAGGCTTGGGGGAGTTTCCAGGCATGGCTTAAGGAGGGGACCCCAGGTAGAGACCAGGCAGAGCCCCTGATGTGAGAACATGGGAGAGAGAACTGATGGCCTAGGAATACAAGGGATTAAGAGACTGTGGGTCAAGGGAGTAGGGAGGGGAGAGCTAAACAAGAAAGAGAACCCAGAGATCCGAGGAGGGGTCCCCGCACTTTTCAGCAGAAATGACAGGGGGTCGGGAGGGCAGAGGGTCTGAGGACAAGAGGGGGAAGCAAAGGTTTGAGGGACAGGAGGGGAATGAGCAGCAAAGTGTGTGGATCTGCTGGACATGCCCGTCGTCTGGAAACTGAGTTGTCTTCACAGGCAAGCATACACATCCCGAGCTGTCCTCCAAGTGTTCACTTTTAATGTGTGCGGTTTATTAGTGCGACTGCACATCATAAAATTTGCCACACAGTGAAACAGAGTTTCGACATATGAATTGAATGGACCCTCACCATGCATTGCAGGAAGGAGGAATATCCTCCCATTTACCAGTGAAGAGACTAAGGGTGCGGGGGTCCCTCATTGGTGAAGATCTCCACTGTGGGGCTGAGGCTTAACCAGGTGGCCTGAAGCGACATGCACAACACCCTCCCACTGTCCTAATCTCTATTCCCTTCCCTCCCAGGTGACTTCTCACCACCATCTCCATCCCCACCATCTCCATCCCCACCACTGTCATCACCGATAGATGGATTGTTTAGCAAGTCTGCTTGAAGAGCTATCTTATTTTTCTTTTCAGGGGAAGGGGGCCTGAGTCTTCCCCCTAAATTTCTTCTCCCGCATACTTCATCCCGCAGATGGAAGAGGAGGCTATGAAGAGCAGTAGAGAGTCCAGAAATGAGTCATTGATTGGCACAGTGCAGAGACAAAGACAGGCTCCAAGTCTCCACCTGCACATCCAGGCACGAACGAGCTCCTCAGAGTGAGTGACAGGCACTGACTTTCCAACAACACCAGCCATGGTGACCTGCCACCGGGCCCTGGGGGACATCCAACCCAGTATATCCATCTGACCGGAGCGACAATGTGGAGGAGGGTTGCAGCTTTGGGAACACTTTAACCTTTTTTTCTTTAGGGGTTCCTAGAAGACCATGGTGTGTCAATCTACTTCCACATTAAATTCTCAGAAAGTGACCTACAACAAAGGCTAAACTTAACCTTTAGCAAAAGTTAAAACCTATTGTGTCAGTTAAAAATCCTAGTCCCAAATAGAGAAAGAAGAGAGAAGACATAGTGCCTTTTGTTATACTTGCAGAGAGTCCAGTTGCCAGCAGCCTAGTATTTGTGTGGCCACTGTGGTTGACCCTGGCCCCCAGTCCCCCTGCTTGGTCTCTATGCTCTCCCCAGGCAGTCCTACAGGACCCTTGTAAGCCACTGCAAGCCATACAAGGTCCCTTCACCCTCCTTCCCCTTCTCCACATCCCGGTCAGAACTCCGAGCAGTTACAAAAAGGCCAACGCAAAAGCACTTGAAGAAAAGATGGAACAAAGTGGTCCCAAAAAACATCACGCTGTCACTCCTTCAGACCAATCAATAGTTGTTAAGGTTTTTCTTTTTCTTTTTTTTTTAAGATTTTATTTATTTATTTGACAGAGACACAGCGAGAGAGGGAACACAAGCAGGGGGAGTGGGCGAGGGAGAAGCAGGCTTCCCGCTGAGCAGGGAGCCCGACGCGGAGCTCGATCCCAGGACCCTGGGATCATGACCTGAGCCGAAGGCAGACACTTAATGACTGAGCCACCCAGGCACCCCAGTTGTTAAGGTTTTTCTGTGTATGTCATGCTCAGCCAGACATGGTGGCCTTTGTGACAGTGAAGAGGTATCATGTCAGTGTCCTTGAGACCCTCCTCGGGTTCAGTGATTCGGTAGAAGGACTCAACGGAACCCTGCAAAGCTCTTACTCTCATGGCTCTGGTTTAATACAACAAAAGGATACAGATGAAAATCAGGAAGACCTAAAGGTGCATGGGGCAGAGTCCCAGAGAGATGAGGCGTGAACTTCCAGGTGTCCTCTCCCCATGGACTTGTGGATGCTGCTTACGTCTTCCAACAACCATGTGTGACAACATGCATGAGATATTACCAACCAGGAACGTTCACCAAGCCTTGATGTCCGGGCATTTTCTTGGGGTTAGTCACACAGCATGGAGTGTCCACATGGCTGACCTGAGTTATTCCATCACTGGCCCCTCCAGAGGGCTGGCTATGGCATGACCCAAAGCCCCATCCTAAATCACATCGTAGCATAAACCACGTGCCATGGCTCCAGGCAAACAAAGACACTCTTATCAGGCAGGACATTTCATGGGCTCATAGGTGACCTTCTAGGAGCCGGTCAAGCGCTAGGCCTTACTGTGGAAGGGGCAGGTGTGGACAATCCAGACCTGCTGAGTTAACTCTTAACCATGGAGGTGTGTTGTGAGATTTTTCAAACTTCAGAGACTCAAATGATGTAAGAATCCGGAACATCCCTCCCACCAGGAAAGACACTCAGTGGAACATCCCCCACTGGGTTCTTCAAAGCTCTCCCTTGATTCTGATGCCTGCATCCAGCTCCCTGCCAGATGCCTCCACATCCTGTCTCCCCCGAGAAGCCCGTTGGACATGGCAAGACTGAACATGGCATCTCCTCCCCCGGCTCCATGCCCTTGGCCAGCTCCTCTTATTTCTCCAACTCAGATGAGGCACCACTGTTCCTGCACCTTCTCAGTCCTCAAGCTGTGGTGAGAGTGGGTGCCTGCAGTTCCCTCGCCTGGTTCTGTCCTGGCCATTGTGCCTGAACCATGCTGCTCACAGCGGTCTCCCGTTTGGTATTTCTTCTGCTCCTCGGTTTCCAAGACCGCTAACGAGGGAGGATTCTCTGGCGGTCACATTAACAGTGTCATCGAGAGAGATGCACCTGACCAGAGCTGGCCCATCCCACCCCATGACTGCTGACAAGTGACCTTCCCATCCAGCCCCCATCCATGCATCTCTACCCATGACAGGATGTCCCCCACTCCCTGTGATGCTCAGTGGACCATGAGCACCGTTATCCCAGTGGGAGTTAGTGTGTCCTCCATGGTCCAGATGAAATGCTGCCCACTCTCCAGCCCACTGTTGTGCATGTCCTCATCCCAAGGCCCCACACTGGGGACATCCAGCACTATGTTTGTGTCACCAGCCCCCATGGCCCTTCTACTTAGCCTTGTCCTGCCATGAGCTGCAAACCTGCTTCCTACCCACTCCGCTGGGTTCTAACCAATAAAAGTGCTCAATACAGTTCTGATGAGTTCAATGGCACGAAAGTAGCCCCATGCCCAAAACCAGCAAGTTTATAACATCCTGGGCAGACTCGGTGAGCCGTCTGGTTAAACCTTGGGAAGATGAGCTTCTTCATATCGATGCTGAAGAGGAGGAGCTCCTTCAGGAATGGGGAGCCATGGAGGTGTATCCTGCCCGGCTGCCTTTCATTGACTGACATGGCTATTGCATTTCCTGAGCATCTTGTCTGGGTTCTTTATCGGCACCAGTGGCCCATATCTCAACACATCTCCTCTGTGCTTGGCTATTCTCAGAATCTCCCAGCCAGCCCGAGGCCTGTGTGTGGGGGTGTGTACTTGGGTGTGGGTGTCACACCCCTGATGTGCTCCCTTCTGGGAGCTGAGAAGCTGATGAATTCACTCACCGTTCACAGGTTTCTCAAGTGTGTGTAATGAGAAAACATCACAGGAAGAGGGAGGGTGCTAAGGAGGAAAGGGAAGTCTAGGGTTGAAATGTCTCGGCAATGCAATCCGTATCCTCACTTTCGGACCAGGCAGAGAGCTGTCCAAGAGAACGGCCAGATGTTGGAGCGCCGGGAAACCGAGAAAGAAAGCAGGTGGCCGGAGCAGAGCCTGGTGCGGTGGGGTAAGGCGGCTCCCTTCATTCTCTGATCCTCAAATGTGCCCTGTCACGAGGGTACCTATTCCTGCCCCTGTTCCTGGTGCTGGCAGCTCAGACTGCAGGTCAGGGAGCACCTGGGGGTGGGAAATGGGAATCTCCGAATGAAGGCGCCCAACAGGGAGGTGGGGTCACTCCAATAGCATGTGGACACTGCATCGGAAGGTCTGAATTGGCCCCAGGGATTAGCCAACTTGCACTGGGAACAGGTTGAGCCCCTCGTGCAACTCTGTGTATGTGAGCATTAGAAGCCACTTTGGAATTACTCCAGAGGCTTGGATGCATGCCGTCGTCCACACGGGGAACCACTGGTCCCTGGATCCTGGGGAGGCACTTTGCTGGTAATCGCTTATCTTAAATCCCCCGGCTACCAAAGGCAGAGCTGCTGGGTGACAGGTGTCTTTGGGGACCACAGCATTTCATTCCATGTGTCGCCCGAGCGCTGTGACCAATTATGTCCCCCCCCCGCCTTCCAAACTGCAGGAAGCTCAACATCCAAGCTCATCCAAGGGATGCCCACATATGGGCAGCACCTGCACTGTGCCAGGTCTCTGATCTGACCTAGTCTGACAGATGGAGCTGGCATCTATGCAGACCTTAGGTTTATAGAAAAGGGAAGAATACCCAGTCTGGAGAAAACCGAAAGAAGAAGGGAAAGTGGGTAGTCAGTGGACAAAAAACAACAAAGTAACGTCTAAGTTTTCAATCATATGAAACACAAACCCCAGGCAAATCCGCAGAACAGGAGGGAAGAATGGGGAGTGTCGGCTCCATGGGGATGGGCTTCTCCTTTGGGGGGATGGGAATGTCCCAGCTCAGGTAGAGGTGATGGTTGAACATTTCAGATGTGGTAAAGGCTGCTGAGTTGTACGCTTGCAAGGGGTGGACTTTATGCCGTGTGAATTTCGCCTCCATTTTTAAAAATCAAGGCAAAAATTAATTAAATGAAGCGTGAGATCTCCCCGGACCTCAGTTTCTCATCCACTTGCATGGGGATCCTAGGAACTGCCTCCTAGGACGAATGTGAGGGAGAAACTAGGAGCCGAGTGGAACGTGCCTATGTTTGGTACGCCCAGGCGATGGAGAAATCACGGCGCCAATGACTTCATGCTGCCCGCGAATTATCCTCCGCAGGGTTTGTCACCATCGTTGGCCAAGAGCCCCCACGTTGTGACTAACCATTTAATTAAAACAGCAACCCTTGCTAGATCATATTCCAACACTGAGCATGTGAGAACATCATTGTTTGGTTTTTTGATTGTGTTCCTTTTTTTTTTTTTTAAGTCAGGTTTACAGAGGTTTATGCTTTTGCTCCATCATGATGAGAAGCAAGTGGAGCTCAGTTTAGAGGAAGCGGAATGGGGAACTGTCCAGCTAAGGGAGTATTTCCATGCAGATTCCCTCTGGTGGGGCGGGGGTGGAGGGTGGGGGGTGTGGGCATCCACAGGCACCTGCTTCATGTACAGCCCCAAAGCAGGTACTATGCGAGGCGGCTTGAAAAAGGAGGAGAAAAGCAGATTCCAGAAGCTTACAGGGGGTGAATGGAATGAGGACCCTCCCTGCTTCGCTGCATCGCACCACCCCTCCTAATTAAGGGCAGCTCCGCTCAAAGCCAGGGTGCTCACACAGATTGCAGATGTGAAAAGCAGGGCTGAGGCAAGGCAGGGATAGCAAAGGGGAACGGTAGAGTCAGCCCAGACTGAGGAAGGGTCCGCCCCAAGAGGCTCTCGGGTGCAACATGGAGGCCCCCCACCCAGTGCCAAGAACCCTGGACAAGACCCAGAGAAGGGCTGGGTGGAGCAGGGTCTAGCTTGCAGATGGAGGAAGCTGGGAACCTCCCCCATAGCACTGGAGTACAAGGTGTGTGGGAGGCAGGGACGTTGGGACAGGTCTGGCCCATGGTTTTTATTTCCTCTTTAGAACAAAGGTGGTGTCTTAGGAGGGAGAGGGCTTGGGGAGGTTGGGAGGCAGGAACATGAGGCTGACCTGGCTTGGGGAGCTGGCTGGACTCTGCATCACTGGGCTCCAGCCTCAGAAGCTGGGGCAGGGGCAGGGGGGAGAAGGGGCTGTAGCATCCAGACAAGCCAGTTGACCCTCAATAGACAGGCAACCCATCACTGCACAGGGTGGGTGGGAAAGGAGGCAGGTGGTGAGGAGATATACAGAATGAACCTCACAGCTCAGAGGTCTGTGGGGGCAGGATCAATAAGGTAAGGGGATCCTTTAAGTCCCACAGAGGGCAAAGGAGCCCCCTGGGTGGGGCTAGACATCGAAGAGAGGAGGAGCCCAAATGTGCTGAACTGGCTGCATGTGGGAGGGAGATGCTGCGTTCTGGTGAGAGCCAGGCTTCAGGGGAGTCTGGGCAAAGAAGAAGAGAGTCCGTGAAGACAGACACCAACTGAGAGGTGAGGACATGGAGGTCCATGGGGCGGGTGTTGGGGGTGTGATGGCTGGATCTCCAAAACGCAGACACTGGACAGGATGAAATAGGGAAGGAATTGGTGAGGGCGATGTCTGAGAGGGAGGAGGAAGGGAGGAGAAAGGGGGGAGGGGAGGAGGAAGGAAGGAGGGAATGAAGGGGAAGAGGAAGGAAGGAGGGAAGGAAAGGAAAGAGGAAGGCGGGAATGAAGGGGAAAAGGAAGGAAGCAGGGAAGGAAGGAAAGAGGAAGCAAAGAGGAAGGAAGGAAAAGGAAAGGAAAAAGGAAGGAAAGAGGGAAGGAAGAAGGGAAGGAAAGAAGGCAGGAAAGTAGAAAGGAGGGAAGGAGGGAGGGAAGAGAAATGGGAAGGAAAGAAGGAAAGAGGGAAGAAGTTTGTGGTCATTTGTTCCGTCGGCCCCCAGGAAGCTAATACACCAAGATAAAAGAGACATTGTTTAGACCGATCAACTCTAAACCCAAGGAAATTACAGAAAACATGATTGTGCATGGTAAAAGAGAAAGGAACCTCCAAGAAAAGACAAGCCTTTATAAGGATGAGGTCACGGGGAACACAAAGAGATGAAGAGCAGCAGAGACAGTAAGCGGCCAAGAGGAAGAGAAACACTTAGAGAAGTAAGACCCCATTATGAATCACAACAACAGCCAAAGAACAAACACCAGTAAAAATACCACCAGGGCAATGGTGGACAGACCCAAGATGCCACCCCAAACCCAAACAGAGCATCAGGTGTTCTCTGTTGAGTGCAGCTTTATGGGACCAGAGCCCTTTGCTTTTGTACTTACGTGTTTAAAAAGTTTTTAATAGACTTTTTTTTTTAAGAGCAGTTTTAGATTTACAGAAAAATTTAAGTGGAAAGTACAGGAGATTCCTATATATGCGCTTCCCCTTTGACCCAGTCTCCACCCTTATTAATATTTGGCATCAGTGGGGCACATCTGTTATCACTGATGTGCCAATATTGATACATTATTATTGATTAAAGCCCACAGTTTACATTAGAGTTACTCTTTGTGTTGGACATTCTATGGACTTGGACAGATGTATAGTGATATATATCCATCATTAGTGATATACAGAGTAGTTTCACTGCCCTAAAAATCCCCTGTGCCCTGCCTGCTCATCTGTCCCTCCCCCAAACCCTGGTGAGTCCTGGGTTTTTTTTGTTTGTTTGTTTTGTTTTCTGTCTCCATAGTTTTTCCTTTTCCAAAAATGTCATAGAGTCTGAATCATACAGGATGTAGCATTTTCAGACCGGCCTCTTTCACTTAGTAAATGTATTTAGACATCCTCTATGTCTCTCTGTGCACTTACCCTTTTCTATTTTCTTCTTCTTTTTTTTTAATATCCTTTCTGATTGCTGCAAAACTCAAGTTTTTTTTTTCAATAGAGAAAAAAAAACTCAAAAAACTGTTATTACCGTAATGGAAACCCGACCTATCATTCCTTTTTCTTCTCCCCCAAAAATCCATTCTAAAAACACTCAGAGCACGTGTCAACTATACTTACATTAAAATTTTTTAAATAAAAATGTAAATTATTCAAGCAAAACAAGAGAGTCAGAACAATGAGAAACTAATCAAAGTGGGTGTAATATTCCCCAAAAGCATCTTAAAATCACTGACACGTGTCAACCATGGCTTCAAGGCTCATCTGAACCATGAGTCAAGCTTGACAGAAGGCAGATGGGTAGGTCTGTAGGGTTGATTCCCGGGGCAGTAGTAGTATTTCTCCACGCTGTGTGGGCGATTGTTGTGCAACCTGCCTCTCTCAGGAAGTTCATCCTGGAGAAAAGAGAAGTCGGCGGTGGGTTCCTGTTTTGTACGTCTTATGGGCTCTGGAGTAGGTGGACAGCCCAGGCCATTCTCTGTAGGAGGAATTAGAATCCCAGTCTCTGACACCTGAAGGCTTAGCCTGGGGAAGGGCTTGGTGAGCCTGTGCTCCACCCCAACCCTGTTTAGAGAGGGAAGGATGTGTCCTGGAGGCCAGGTGTGTGGAGCTAGAGCCTGATGCACGGTCCAGCACCTTCGGAACAACCCTTCCTGACCGTCTCCACTGTTCTTTTGTGGACAATACGCCCACCAAGTGGCTGCCCATCCTAGACTCGTCCCTAAGACTTAGGGAGTGGATCTTGGTACCTGTGGTGGATAGAATAATATCCCCAGAGATGTCCACATCCTGATCCCCATGTGGTGGAGAGAACAATGGCCCCAGAGACATCCCCCCAGGTTCCAGACAGGAATAAAGCCGCAGCATGTGGGCAACTTGCCCCAGTGACACGGAGAATGACAAGGTTGGCTGGAGCCCCGTGCCCATGCTGCAGGATAGGCCCTTGGTTCTGCCTCACCCCGAGGCTGGTTGTAACCTGCAGACCCTTCGACAGCCAGCAGTGACCCCCGGCTGGCCAGGGTAGTAGGCTGACCATCAGGCTGGGGATGGTCCTGCACTTTTCCCCAGAGAATCTCCCCAAGGAAACCTCGCTGGGTCCCCCTGCCAAGCGTCCTCATGAGAGCTGATTTCCTCAAAGCGTGACTGTCTGTTCCTGCAGGTTTTCCTCATCCTTTGGGCAGCCCCATGGGACTCCTGGCCACAGCCGTCCTATTCTGCATGCTGCTGGACCCAGTGTTACTCCAGACTCTGGAGCAGCAGGGTAAGGGTGTGAACCTGTCTGACCCTTCTCTGCCTGTCTCATTCCTATGTCCTGTGTATCTGGGGACACATCCTGACGCCTGAGTCCAACTGCATGGGCAGAGATGTTATTGCCCAATTCGGTGAAAATGGAGACCAGGGAACAGAGATGTCAGGCAACGTGCTGGAAGTGACATGACTGGTGAGACACAGAGCCGGGACTCAGACCCACAGCAGTCTTTCTAGAGGGGGCTCTGATTTTAAAGTATGGACACCAGTCTTTGCCACCCAAGAAAGGAGGTAGGGGACAGTGGAATGGCTATCTCCCCGTCCTCCACACAGAGGACCTATAGGAATCTTCATTCACTTGCACAAAATCCATGCAGTCCAGCCTTGCCCTTCTCCTGTGGCTTTTGCATATGGAACTGATAGACTATCTGCACTCAGGAGCCCCGAGGTCCAGGGATGGGCAGGAGCTAGCTCAGCACAGGGAGATGTGCTCTGGATGCATCTGTGCCATCAGATTTCTGTTGACCATTGAAGACTCTCTTGGTTGAGTATGAACTCAAGGGCATATGCAGCTCTTGCAGGACCCACAGGCTAATACCAAGGCCCATAGGACTGTTGGGGACGGATGATCATTGTTGTCTTGTGCTGGGAAAGTAGGAGAAGTCTGCAGGAAGCCAAGGGGATGCCAGGGAGGGTGGAGGGCCAAGAAACTCAGGAGGTAAGTGACTTATTTTCAGGCCCTGGAGACCTGGAGAGAGGTGGTCCCTGTGCTGGGGGAGGTGTGGTTGGCACCTTAAATAAAGGAGGATGTGGATGTGAGACACCAAGCACAGAGGCCGTGCGGGCTGAGAAACTCAATATACAAATGGACAAGGGGCAGAGGGTCCTTAAGAACAGAACTCTGGCCCACAACCTGCAGCAACCTGCCCAGGGGACCAGCCCACAGAGACAGCCTGGTGTCTCCACGTCAGATGAGCAAGAAGCCAGTTGTCCGTCCCCATGACAATCTGAAAAGCTAAACAATCCCATCTGGAACAACGGGCTCCAAATGGCCAGGACTTGATCAGTAACCAATGGCTTCCCTACGTGTTGACCCCACTTTCTATTTAGGACCAACCAGAGAAACCAGATATGGTCCCCTAATGAATCCCATATGATGCCCTACTTGTAATGAGCCACCTGCATCTTCCCCACACCCACAGACTCTGCTTAGGGCACAACCGAACGTTCTCCTTCATCCACTGTGAAACTTGCCCACTCCCCTGTCCGCCCTTGATCTCTGAGAAATACCAGTGATGGTGGCCAATGTCCTCACCACAGCAGGCTCTGAATAAACAGCCTCTGCTTGCTCTGACTTGGTAGGTCTTGCCTTACTTACATGGTAGGCATCTTCACATGGAGAAAAGGCACGGAGGTCCAGGTAGGAAGAAGAGATCAATAAGGGGGAGATTCTGTGCATGTGCCAATGCCCTGGGGCCACGTGAGGGGACAGGGGAAGGGGACAGCATGTCCCAGCCTTGACCTTTGCTTACAAGACATGGGATGGGTCAGCAGGCAGCAGGTAGAGGTGAAAAAGGGGTAATTTCTGAATCTGGTGGTCCTGTCTTTCAGATCTTCCAAATGTGGAAGGGGTCCCCAGTCTAAATATGAAGTTTGATTCTTGGAGAATGGAACTGAGTTGGGACTGCAAAGAAACCACTACCTACCTCAAATGCGTGATGATTCACAAGGAGAACGGGCCGATCCAAATAACAGTAAGATGGATTTGTTATGGACAATTGCTGTCCTTTACCAAGCTCTCATTACATTAGAAACAAGGCAGCAATAGGTGGAAACAGAGAGCATGTGTGTGACCCTGGGGGACACGTCTAGGAGCCATGCTTCTGGGTGCACCAGGGAAGTAAGTCCTGGCCTGTGTCCAAGAGGTGCCCGGTGGCCTGATTCCCTGGGGGACTGAGAAACTCCCTGGAAAATGTCTTTTCCCAAAAGGAAAGGGAGTTCAGGGCTCCCGGGGAGGAGCCCCAGCCCAAAGCTCCTATGAGGTTAGACCTGGTACAGATTGTAGGGTGGGATCCTTGGGGACGCTCAACCACCCAAGGAAGATGAACTGAGGCAGGCTGGTGGGATGGGGGATCCAGGGCAACACAGGTAGATTCCAGTCGGGCACCCAAATGCTCCCAGAATTTCCAGGCATCACTTTCAGGGACCGTAATCAAGGGGAAGACGAATGGCTTATTCTGTGACTTTCAGGCTTCTGTACCCCTTCAAGGGGTGTTGCATAGGGGAACTGCCCCCCTACCACCAGAAACAGCAGCTTCTGCTCAACTGATCCATCAAAAATCATCCACGTGGCCGACTTAATCCCCAGAAAGAAATAGTTGGTCCCCAGTGTTCCATGAAAACAAAGTTACCAGACTGAACAGATAAAATGTAAATGTTAAGCCTGCGGGAGAAAGGAATATGAGATAGGACAAGAAAATGGAATAACATAAAAGAGCGTACGTCAAGCTCCATAATGCTTAATGTGATGAGAGATCTCACTGCTCAGGGTGGTGGTCCATCAGCATCACCTCAGAGCTTTGTTACAAATGCAGAATCCCCTGCCTAGAACGTGCTGAACCAGAATCATTTTGACAAGATCCCCGGTGACTGAGGGCACACTGAAATGAGACCTGTATTCCGACCTCCTCAACACTGTAAGACTACCCGAGTCGAGGTCCCACCTTCACGTGGGCATGCCGCCAACCACCCAGAGAATGTACATGGGTGGTGGTGGCGTCTCGGGGTTGGTGGAAGAGCAAACAACATGGAGAGGAGAATAAAAAAAAGAGTTTCCTAATGCACTGGCTGGTTGCATCTTTCTAGCCCCAGGAGAAAGAATGTCACTGCAAGTTTTCGGATTATTCTCTCCATGATGGAGTCACGCTCATGGTTAAAGTAAATAGCACCCAAAGACCGATTCCAGAAACACTGGTCTACACTAACTCAGGTAGGGAAAACCTCACAGTGATCCTTCTGAACATCACTAGCTTCAAGGTAGATCTCTTCCCTTTTTTTTTTTTTTTCAGCTTTATTGAGATATACCTGACACCTAGGTATTATATATATTTAAGATACATAGCTTAAAGCTTTGATATACATATACATTGAGAAATAATTACTGCAATTAAGCTATTATCCCTCCCTTCAGCCCCCGGAAAGCGCCATTTACTCTCTGTGTCGATGCATTTGCCATGTGTTGGCCATTGTGAATAATACTGTGATGAACATGGGGATGCGTAAATCTTTTTGGGATCCAGATTTCATTTTCTTTGGAAATATACCCAGAAGTGGGATTGCTGGGCCATATAGGAGTTCTGCTGTCAATATTTAAAGAAACTTCCATATTTTCCACAGTGGCCGCACCAACTTACACTCCCAACAGCAGTGCACAGGGTTTCCTTCTATTTGCATCTTCGCCAGTATTTATCTCTGCTTTATATATGTATAAATAATATATAATAGTCATTTAGCAGGTGTGAGGTAATAGCTCATTGTGGTTTTATTTGCATTTCTTTGATGATGAGTGATGTTGAGCATCTTTTTGTGTAGCTGTTGGCCATTTGTATGTCTTCTTTTGAAAAATGTCTGTTCAGGTCCTTTGTCCTATTCAGTTTGTTTAAGTTTTTGTTGTTGTTGTTTTTGTTGTTTTCTGTTTTTGGGGGCTTTGGGTTTTTTGTTGTTGAATTGTTTGAGGTCTTTATATATTTTGGATTTTGACCTTTTATCAGATATATATGGATTGCAGATATTTTCTCCCATTCCATAGGTTACCTTGTCACTCTGCTGATTGTTTCCTTCACTGAGCAGAAGCTTTATAGTTTGATGCAATCCCAGGTGTCAATTTTTGGTTTTGTTACCTGTGCTTCTCGTGTCATATCCAAAAAATCATTGCCAAGACCAATGCCAAGAATCTTTTTCCCTATGTTTTCTTCCAGTCGTCTTACAGTTTCAGGTTTTGTGTTTAAGTCTTTAATTGATTTTGACTTGATTTCCATATACGGTGTGAGATAAGGAGGCTATTTCATTCTCCTGCTAATGGGTGTCCAGTTTTCCCAACATTATTTAGTGAAGAGAGAATCCTTCGTCCACTGTTTGTTCTTGGCACCCTCGTTGAAGGTGAACCTTGTTGACCATAGGTCTGTGGATTTATTTCTGGGCTCTCTGGTGTCCCATTGATCTATGTGTCTACCTTTATGTCAGTACCATACTGTTTTGATTACTGTAGCTTTGTGATGTATTTTGAGATCAGGAAATGTGATGCTTCTAGCTTTGTACTTCTTGCTCAAGATTGCTTTGGCTATTTGAAGTCTTTTGTGGCTCCATATGAATTTTAGGATTCTTTTTCCATTTCTGTAAAGAACGCCATTGGGATTTTGATAGTGATTGTGTTGATCTATAGATCACTTTGGGTAGTATGGACATTTTATCGCTGTTAGTTATTTCAATTCACAAACATGGATCTCTTTCCATTGACCTGTGTGTTCTTAAATCTCCTTCATCAATGTTTTATAATATTCACCAATATAATTTTATAATATTCAATTTACCCACTTGGTTAAGTTTATTTCTAAGTATTTTATTCTTTTTGTTGCTATTATGAATGGGATTAATTCATTTTTTTAAATTTTATTTTTAAGTAATCTATACACCCAATGTAGGGCTTGAACTCACAACCCCAGGATCAAGAGCTGCATGCTCTACTGACTGAACCAGCCAGGAGCCCCAGGATTATTTTTTTGATTCCTTTCTTGACTAGGTCATTGTTAGTGTATACAAATGCCACTGATTTTTGTATGTTGATTTTATATCCTGCAACTTTATTACCTTTATTTATTAGCTATAACAATGTCTTCTGTTTGTTTGTTTAGTCTTTAGGTTTTTCTACACATTATGGTCATGTTATCATCAAACGGAGCTAATCTTACTTCTTTTTTAATTTGGATACTTTAATTTCTTTTTCTTGTCTAATTGTTCTGGCTAGGACTTCCCATACTATATTAAATAGAAGTGGTAAGAGTGTCTACCTTGGCCTTGTTTCTTACCTTACAAGGTAAGCTTTCAGTTTTTTGGGTTTTTTTTTTTCCCATTGAGTGTGGCATTAGCTATGGGCTTTCCATATTTGCCCTTTATTGTGTTGAGGTAAACTGCTTCTATACCTATTTTACTGAGAGTTTTTGTCATGAATGGATGTTGAATTTTGTCAAAGACATTTTCTATAGCTACTGAGATGATTATGTGATTTTTTTTCTTTCATTGTATTAAAATGCTACCACAGATTGATTGATTTGCATATGTTGAACCATCTTTGCATGCCAGGGATAAATTCTACGCGGTTACAACGTGCATTCCTTTTAACGTGCTGTTGGATTTGCTTGCTTGTATTTTGTTAATGATTTTTACAACTATGTTTATTAGGATATTGGGATGTGATTTTTTTTTCTCATCCCTTTGGCTTAAGTATCAGGGTGATCCTGCCCTCATAAAATGAATTTGGTAGTGCTCCCTCTTCTTCTATTTTTTTTGGAAGAGTTTAAGAAAGATTGGAGGGGCGCCTGGATGGCACAGTCAGTTGAACATCTGACTCTTGGTTTCTGCTCAGGTCTTGATCTCAGTGTCATGGGATCGAGCCCTGAGTCGGGCTCTGTGCTCAGAGGTGAATCTGCTTGGAATTCTCTTTCCCTCTCCCTCTGCCCCTCTCACTCGTGCTCTCTCTCTCTCAAATAAATCAATAAATCTTAAAAAAAAAGGATTGGAATTAATTATTCTTTGAATCTTTGGTAGACATTCCAACTATGAAGCCATGTGGTCCACTTCCACAAATTATTTTGTTTGTGTGTCTTCTCAGGTGGGGAGGGCACAGCTGCCCAAAATTTCTCCTGTTTTATCTACAATGCGAACTTCATGAACTGCAGTTGGGCAAAGGGTCAAGCTGCCCCTGATGACGTCCAATATTTTTTGTATATACGAGACTCGAGGTAGGTATTGATCTCATGTAGACAATCCTGAGAAGTATGGGGGGCGGGGGAAGCCCTGATTGTTCTCTGAACAGTTTGAATTTTATAGAAGAAAAAGGGGAAGAGAGTGTCCTCATTACATAGAAGACTCAGGAACCCACGTGGGCTGTCACCTGGAAGACCTCTCAGGATTAGCGAACTACAATTATTTCCTGGTGAACGGTACCAGCCAACGGACAGGAATCCAGTTCTTTGATTCGATTTTGTCGTGGAAGAAAATCGGTAAGAGCCACGTCCTGTGGTGTCAACAGATGCTTAACAGGTGAACCGAACAGAGTTTGTGGGAAGTTTGGAAGAATGGAAGTTTACTCTCTCTCCCAGTTCTGGAGGCTAGAGACCCTGAATCAAGGTGTTGCCAATGGTTGCTTCCTTGTGGAAAGAGACCAACCCATCCTTTTACTCTGAATTAAACGGGGTGACAAGAAGTGCCTACACTGCTAATGAATCCCCCCTCAACCGCCCCAAAGAAACGAGGGCTCTTCCAACGCCCCCATAGCCTCCAAGAGCTGATCTTGGCGCTGGGACAGCCCAGCCAGGCAGGGGTTTTGCCTGCAATCAGGCAGTGAAGCCCCACCAAGACAAAAGGGAAGATGTTCAGACCAGGAGTTGGAGGTTAATACTGACCTGTCCGCAGACCTCCCCCATGGAGTAGCACACACAGCCTTCTCTTGCCGTTTTGGGGGACGCCGTTGGCAAACAGATGCCAACTCTCCAGTTAACCTTCACAGGCCATCGCCCACCCCCGCTCCCCACCTCCGGGCTCACCTGTTGGGGGAGCTCCAGGTGTGTGTACCCAGCCAGGTGGCAGGTGTTCTACCTGTGTCTCAGGGTCTGCATTTCCTGCTCCTCGCTGCAGACAAACCTCCCATGGCCCTGACTCGGCCACCCGCCTTCCAGCGGAATCCCCGCCTTTCTTTTTCCCTCCCCATGTTTTTAACATTTTCATTTAACCCGGGAAATCCCAATATTATTTCAAACTTCAATCCTGTGCAGTTGTGACTTACAATAAGAAATGCATGTTTGGTCTCTGTCTGTTTCCAGCACACAGCTGAGAAAACCCTAGGAATTTCCCGGGAGGAGAGCGGTAAATGTGCCTTTTGTTATGTTAAGGAGGTGACAGCTGAAAAGACCCTATGGATGGGCATTGGTTGCCAGGGGAACCAACTGGGTGATTAAAGGATTGGACTTTTCAGTCCCCTCCTATGACCTCAGGGACCGGAAAGGGGCTGGTGTTTGAGTTCAACCCCCAACAGGCAATGATTTAATCAATTGTGTTTCCATGATGAAGGCTCCCTAAAATCCCAAAAGGACAGGGTTTGGAGATCTTACAGGCTGGTGGACATGTGGAAGTTTGGGGAGAGAGGTGCACCTTGGGAGACCATGGAAGCTCCACGCCCTTCCCCCACACCGGGCCCCATACATCTCTTCATCTGGCTCTTCCTGAGTTACAGTCTTTTAAAATAAACCCATGATCTAGTGAGTAACACGTTTCCTTGGGCTCTGTGAGTAGCTCTACCAGATTAACGGAACCCGAGGAGGAGGTCCTGGGAACTTCCGATCTGTAGCTGGTGGGTCAGAACCATGGGTGTCAACCTGGATTTGTGACTGGTGTCTGACCCAGAGGGTGAAGGGCAGTCTTGTAAGGCTGAGCCCCCTACCCTGTGGGATCTGACGCCATATCCAGGTAGATAGATCAGAACTGCGTTGAATTGTAGGACACCCCGCCAGTTGTCTGAGAATAGCTTGAAGGTGGGAAGGGGGGACTCCACCTGTCAGAACTGGCTGCAGAATCCTACATACACATCACAACAAAGAAGGACCCCCGTCCTGTTGTGAGCTTGGAGATCCAGTGTGAACTTCCCAGTGACTGTGCAACATTCGGTGTGATAAGATACACTGGATGTGAACTTAACAGCCAAGTGGCCCTTGAAGGGTTTCAGGAATGAAATCAACCCACGGGGTCAAGATCAGAATGCATGCTACCTAAGTGGGATCAGACACAGAACGCCCATCCTGATCGTTGGTGGAACCCACAGTAGGCGGTCACATTGTTGAAGGACACTGGAGCTCCTTGGTCTTTTCTGACAAGCATCCGGTCCTCCCATTGGAAATCATGCCTTTGCTGTCCCCATGGTGGCCCCGTCCCTGCCCAGTCCCCGTATTTCCCTCCTTCCCTCACTTGGGGTTCCCTGCAGCCTGCCAGACCATCCTGTGTGCGCACATCCCAGTGGTCCTCTTCCCCAAGAGGCAACACTCAGACCCACTCGCACTCGGGCCTCTGGGTAACCCCTGGGAGCTGCCCGCAGAAGTGGGTCTGACCTCCGTGGCCCAGCAGAAGCCCGCTGGTTCAGGGGAGTGTCCTGGGATCTCGTTACAGAAATATATAGCCCACCCAACAATATCAGCGTGCACTGCAACAAGTCCTACTGTGTGATCCGATGGGAAAAGCCCAAGACCCGACATAAGCTGTCCAACATGGAGTTCAAGTACCAGCTGGACATCCAGAAACAGGTGAGTGGACTCTGCCCCAAGCAGGACATCGTGCCTCGAGGAGCAGGGGGCAGCAGCCCCTGTGACCTACCATGAGGGCCCAGGTCATGGGAGATAGGCAGGGCTCCGTGATGCATGGGAAGGAACACAGGGGCGGCTGTGGTGGACAGGATGTCCTGGGCGTGACGGTCACCACCATGGCAAACCCAAAAGAGGTGTCCATACACCCAGCTGGATCCTAAAAGCCTTTGGCGGTTGTTAGAGATCTCCAAGCAGATGCAGAAAAGAGAGGACCTTCTGCTACTTGTCCACTAGGACCCCACCTGGAGAAGGCAGATTGTCTGCGCCACATCCGCCTGGACCCACTGTAGACAAGGGGGACTCTCTGCTCCATGACCACACGGACTCAGTGCAGACAAGGGGGACTCTCTGCTCCAAGACCACCTGGACTCAGTGTAGACAAGGGGGAGCAGAGAGGGGGAGCCTCTGCTCCACATCCAAATGGACTCAGTGTAGACAAGGGGGAGTCTCTGCTCCACATCCACATGGACTCACTGTAGACAAGGGGGACTCTGCTCCACGACCACATGGACTCAGTGTAGACAAGGGGGACTCTCTGCTCCACGACCACATGGATTCAGTGCAGATAAGGAGGCCCCTCTGCTCCACGTCCACCCGGACCCTTATTTGGACCCGTCAGCAGCTGGGGTCCAAGGATGAAGCATGATCAGGGTTCATCCTCCCTCGGTGAATGAGTCCATCCCCACCGTCCGTGTGACTTGAGGAGAAGGATGTATAGGGGGAGCTCTGCCCTTCACGTGGCCCCGACTATTCGGGTTAACCCGTGAGCACACTCAATGAATGGATCCTGTAAAAATCTTCAAAATGGAGAAAAGTAAACCTAGTTCTATTTATTTTTCTTCTAGAGCACTAAGGAACACAGTGAGGATCAACCGGTGAGTTAAAACTCTGACCCAACTATCACCCTGTAGTGTAACTTTAAATGTTACTCAAGTGGACACGTGGCCCCCCTGGTGGCCAAGATGGGGCGGGCAATGAGTGGGAGAGTGGCGGCTCCCCGGAGGACGGTCCCATCAGTGATGTAGAGGTGCTCCCAACAGGCCCGCTGTGGGAGGGGGGCTCATCTGGGCATGCTTGCCCTGTCCCATTTGTTGAAATTAGTGACCACCCATGTTGGTCAAGAGTTTTAAGGAGATTACGTGTTGGCCAAGAAAATACTCCTTTGGGTTTTAAGGAGATTATTTCTTCCTTTAAAATACCTCTTAAAGATCATCAAAGTCCTTTATGGTGGCGTGTCCCAAGTCCCCGTGCCACGGTGACCTCAGTCTCCTCCTCCGTCCAATGGGGGGCTTTTACTTGGTTAACGTCCTTGTTGGGACATTACCCACCGGTGGCTCTGCTCCTGTCCCGTGTACCTGCTGCGTGATTTCTGCGTCTATGTTGACGAGCACCCCAGGAGGGGTTCTGTCGTGAACACAGCACATGCTCACGGTGCTGATTCCCTGAAGCTTTTGGTGCGCAGACAACGCATTAGTCTTATACACCGTGTATTTGTAGACAGCACCGACGTTTCGCACCGTGAGGGCACGGTTCTGCTTCGCTAGCAAAATGGCCCCTTTCCACGGTGCATTTTCCACATGCTTCTGGAACCGTCATCCGTCCCACTGGTGCCGCCGAAAAGACATACCCAGCCCCTCCTTTCTGAACACAGGACACCCCGCTCTCAAACTTTCTCTTTTGTCCAAAGATTGAGGTGCCTGGTAATTTGGAAAATACCTACAGCTTCCCAAGTCCGGAGCCCAGACCCAAGCATACTGTGAAAATAAGGACCTCGGACGCGCGGATCCAGAAGTGGGGTGACTGGAGCCAGCCCATTGAGTTTGGTATGTGTCCTGGGAGCGTCCCTAAGTTCATCTCTGAGCCCTTCCCATCCCAGTCCTGGTCCCTGTCCCTGTCCCCATCCCTGTCCCTGTCCCAGTCCCTGTCACCGTCCCCAGAGACTCCTAGAGGGAGGAGTTCCCCATCCACGGGTCTCCATGGGGCTCAGTTCCTTCAAAGAAAGGGACAATCCGCCCAGCCTCCGAAGGGGCTGCCTCAGCTGGAAATGATCAATCGCTCCTGGTCCCCATCAACCCCGTTCCTGTCATGATCCCAGCCAGGGGAACACTGACATCAAAGTCGAGCGTGTTTTGGCCTAATCAAGAGGGAGCTATTCATTCCAGGGAACTCAATTACCAACACCTTCCACCACCTTCCTCCCTGGAACCTTTATGGGTTGGCACGAATTTAATGGTTTGGACCAAAAGCCAATCGGGTACTCAAGAAATCTGCATTTCCACACTATCCCTCCCTCCCAAATATTTTCAAAGTGTTTCAGCAAGCATTTTATGCATATAATTTTATGGATGTTTTTTTCCTGATCCAAAAACGGAGACTTTAATAAGGGCTGGTATACAATGCATGTGAAATGTTTATCCAGAGGTAAAACATAAGTTCAAAGAGATGGGACAGTGGGTTCTTAGCTATGACTCCAAAACGAGGAACAACAAAATTAAAAAAAATAGGTCAACTGGCGTTCATCAAAATTAAAAACTTCTGTATCATCTGGAATGACCACTTTTTAAGCAAATGTATTATTATTAGTATTAGTATTACTATTATTTTGTAAGAGGGCACATTTCATATGTTAATATGGAAAACTCTCAAAACGCCAGACCCTTAATCTGGTTATGGTCCTCCTGATGGGACTGGGGTTTTTTGTTTTGTTTTGTTTTTGGTTTTAAAGATTTCTTTTATTTATTTGAGAGACACAGCAAGAGAGGGAACACAAGCAGGGGGAGTGGGAGAGGGAGAAGCAGGCTTCCCGCTGAGCAGGGAGCCCGATGCGGGGCTCGATCC